TTTTTTTTTTTTTTTTTTTTTTTTTTTTTTTTTAATATTAACAAGTTTAATGAAAAAGTTATTATTTGCAAACAAAGTCAAGGAAAATAGAGTATAGTAAAAAGCTTAAAATTACCAATCCTTTCTGAACAGAAGGAAAGTTCCCATAACCAAATAGGGCAAAATACAAGTTGATATTAAAAAATGCGAAGAAAATCAGTTGGTTGGTAACATTCGCCAAAGCCTTTTGTACTAGACAGATCTACTTGATTACATTTTTGTAACATATGACCTGGTAAATTCTCTAGCCTATGACACTGTAGAAGGCAAACAGCTGACTTTGCTCATTGTAGGAGGCAAGGAGAAGCTCACAGTTTACTGTTTACTGCACTGTAAACTTCACGCTTGGGCCCAAGCCTGTAATTTCCAGCTTGTCAATCTGCTGCAAGTTTTGAACACGATGCCTGTACTCAAACTGGTCTTGCTCATTCACAGCCACCTTGAAGCAATGATCTTGACATAAAATCCGAATCTGTAAAGAAGGGAGGGTGCGGTGAAGAAATGTTACAAAGCAGCGTTTGTAGTAGATTCTACAAGCATTTGTAGTAAGCTCTAAAAGATGCAAACAAGGAGGAACTAAAGCTAAATCCTGTTTCATCTTCATAGGCCTGAGGAGCAACTGCACAGCTGCAATTCTTGGCATTTGTAAGGAGCTTCTATTTCTATCCCCTTCTCACCCAGGGAGGATTTAAATCCTTGTTTCCCCACTTCCCAGCAGAGCGCTTCAACTACCAGGTCACTAGCTAGGCGCTGCAGCTAGCCTGCTGGGCAGTGAGGAGAGAGGTAGAAGCCCCGTGCCTCAGTGAGATGGAGGAAATCTTGCACTCTGGCTCTCAGTATCTAATATTCATTGGATCAACAGCACTGAGTTGGTTTCTGTCCCACTAGGAACAGGGGCCAGGGCTGGCTAAAAAGAGATGGGGTCCAGGGCCTTGGACTCACCCGTTACTCTCTCAGAGGTAAGGGGCAATGTGACCTGGGAGACTGTGCACTGGTCTGGGGTCACAGGCTCAAGAGCCTTAGTTCTTGCTCCCTTTTGGGTTGTGTAGGTATAAGGGTGTGCATCTACACATGCATTAATGCACTTTTCCTAATGTGCATTAAACTTAGTACCTCCAATGTGAGGTACTAAATGAATGCATATTAGGCTCCCCTAATGTGCAGCACTGAAAGCACACATTTTTAAAAAGTTATGCTTAATGCACAGTAGCCTATTTTAATGTGCATTAGCGTCACTGCATGGTT